CTATCAATATGCGTATGATAATTTTTTACAAGTTCAATATTCTAAATGCAAAAAAAAAAAAACAAAACAAAAACAAAAACAAAAACAAATTTTTAACAGATTTTTTGTCACTTTGAATGAAGAAAACTCCTAAATAAATATATAATCTTGTAATACTTATTTTCAAGCAAAGACTCTATATCATCAATTTTTTTAACTTCATTAACCATACTTGATTCTAAAAATTTGTCATTACATGTTATAATATATTATTTTAAATCACTCATAAAATATTTAATAATAATAATATAACTAGTTGATCTTGATTGTTTAAGTATAAAATATACAACCATATATCATTTGAGATTTGAAAAATATGTGTTGTGTAACTTCATTTTTTATCATTGCTAAGATTTTATATTTTGATTTTTGAAAGAGGAGAATTAAAACTTTTGCAAGAGATAAGTTACAATTGTTATTTAAATTTTTAATACATAAAAAATATTATAAAAATAAAATTATAAAATTAAATCAATTTTATTTTAAGATGTATTAATTATAATCTTAATTATACTTTTATTGAATAGAAATAGCTATATTTGTACTTAAAAATATAATAAGATTAATTATTCTTTAGTCTATGAAATAAAATTAATATGTTTTTTAAAGTGTAATACAAAAATACAATCCAAAATGTAAATTATTAGATTATATTTTTATATTTTAAAAGGAATAAAAGGGGGTTTATTTTATTTATTTTATAATTATTAAATCTCAATTTGTTTTTAAAATATAATATTGAGATTCTATAAATATATATATATATATAATAGTTAAAATTTATCCCAAACAGCTTACAATATTATTTTAGAACATCATTAAGTGTATTAAGATATATTTAGAAAATAAAAATAATGACTATTAAATTAATTTATGAAAAAGATTTATACCAATATATTGACCAATCTACAATACATTTCAAAATGACTTCATATTAATGAAATTTTAGAACAACAATAATAGTAAAAATAACTTTTATACTAATATAAGTATAAAAAATTTATTTGAAAACAACATGCTATTTCTTAGAAGTTTTTGTAAATATTTTTGTACTAAATACAATAACCATTAAAAAAACTAATATTTATACTTTGTATTTAAACTTCTTAATTAGTTTAAATTATATTTTAAACTACATTTTATACTGAAATATATCTACAAAAAATCTATTATATTTTATGTTTAAAAATAATTTATAAATATAAAATTATATTCTATTTTAGTATAAAAAATTAAATTTCAATATTTTTTATTAATTTAAAAAAAAATCTAATTTTTTTAAATATTTTTTATTGATTATTTTTGTATTAAAAATTATGAGATTTTAATATTTTAATAATATTCTTACTGTGATATAATAAATAAATAAAAATTTACATTTACTTTTTGTGTATAAAAAAATTTGAAAGATATAATATTGTATACAAATATTAATATGATTTAACATAATTACGTAAAATTTAGAAATTAAATTATTTTAAAAGATGGTTTTAAGATAGATTCTAAAAAGACTAAAAATATTGTTATTCAAAAAAAAAATTAAATAATATAATAATTTTAATATTGTTACCTATGATCAATTTGTTATCATAAAATCTTTTATTGTGAATTTTTTTTTAGTTAATTTTTTGGATATAAAATTGGCTTGTAAACTAAGTTATAATAGATCCATATTTTTATATAGTATTTTTAGATTTAAAATTTTATTTAATATATTTTAAATTATATATTATTTAAATTATAAAAGCCATTCTTAGTAGAGAATATATCAAAAAAAAAAAAAAAAAAAAAAAAAAAAAGAAGATAGATGCAAGTTTATTAGAAATTAAACTAAATAATTAATTATATAAGGTTTTTCTTAATATTTGTAGAAAAAAATTATTCTGATTAAAAACTTTAAAATAAATAATTCTCTACTGTTGTGTATTTGCTTTAAAAATGGCATTAATATTTAAAAGATGATCTTCATAAATTTTATTTTTACATAAAGCACTTTAAGTATTTTATGCTATTATGTTGACTATTAAAAACCTTACTAGAATATGACTTTATTATAATTTATATTAAAATTTATATATTATTTAGATTTATAATTTAAAATATTATTTTTATCTAAAATAAAAATTTGCAACTATGATTAACAACATTCTATTATTTTTAAATCAATGCAATTTCATTTAAAAGTTATAATCTTATTAATTTTTAATATATTTAATATAAATTGATAAATTTTATTTAGATATAATAAGAAATATTATTCTATTTAAAATCAAATAAAATATAAATTATATACTTTTTATTTTAGAATATTTTTAATTCTAAGCTAAATGTAATTTATATTTTAAGGGAGTTGTTAAAACCATGCTCATCCTTGCCACCTCATAATTGATTTTGTCTCTATCCTTCTTTTATGATTCTTGTTCTCAACCCCTTCATTTCAAATCTCCCCTCTCCCCTCCTCCTTTTATACCCATCTCTTGTTTCTAACCAACTTCTTTGTTTCCATTTCCATTTCCAACCTAGAACATGTTTTGTTGGTTGGAGAGAGAGGAAATAAATAAATAAATAAATAAAAAGACTTTTTCTTAGTTCATGACAACCTCTTTTTAGTCTTTAGATTTTGCAACTCTAATGTTTGCATCTACTAGTCATACTTCTCCTAAGATGTAACCAATTCCTCCAATTGGTCATTATTTCCTCTCTTTGTCTTCAGCATTATCCTAGTAGGTAATCCAAAACTTGTGTTTCTATTGTCTTGGAAATATATGCTTCCCGAAGCTTTAGATAAAACCCAATTAGCTTTTGAATTCTCTCATGTGTTGTACCAACAATTCTATACAATTGTTAAACATGTTCCATTTGGAATACTTAGAAAACAAGTTTTTATGAAAGAAGATACTTATTGAGGTTAAATTTATCTCTATTTCCAATATCTAACCATCCATTGAGAACTAAAGTAACACCTAATGTGAACAATTTACTTGTGTGCATGGTGGTGGTAGTGACTCCTCTAACATTGTATTTTGTAAATGAAGGGAGGGAGGGGAGAGTATGAAGGAAGACTTGCTCCATGCTACAAATGAAAATGGGAGAGCTGGGAACAAGGATTTGGGACGAGAATGAGGAGATAGAGATGAAATCAATCAAGAGATGGCAAGGAGGGGTGTGGCTTAAGCAACTCCCAATTTTAAGCTATATTCATTTATTCCAACTTTCAAATTTAATCATGTATATGTCAAGAAATCTTTTATATTCCATATCTATATTTAGATTAATTTAAATAGATTTTCAATTGCCTCAAGTATTAAAAAAATATTAGAGAATTTATATAGTCATGATAATTAATCTTAAATAATATTCATAAGATTCATGAAAAAAAAATCTAATATATAAGATATTTATTCTTGGAGGATTTGAAAGACAAACAAACATACACAATTCTTTACAAAAACTACCCTATTAGATTGTAACACCTTAGTTGCCTTTATTTGCAAATATTTTTATCTTGATCTTATTTCATACAAGTTGTGAACAATGTCAATCTAGTCAACTTAATTGATTGACTTGACTTGATTGAGTCCGGTCTTACACAATTTAAACTATTGAGTTTGTTCTCCCATTAACCATCACTTCAACTAGCAAGCACTTGTTAATCTGAAGATCTCAAGCAACCCAGAAAGAAATGACGTGTCAAATCAAGATCATTTATGTATATCAAAAATAAAAGGACATCCAAGTAACCGTCAACATCCTTCCATTTGCTTTCTTCTCTTTATTTCTATCCTCAAAGAAAAATAGAACACATCTCTAAAGAATGACAAGGACAAATCCATAGTACGTAGATTGATCAGTACTGGAATAGAGATGGCGTCGAATCTATAACAAAAGAAGGCAGAACATATGCACAAAAAGAAAGAAATTAAAAAGGGAATCTCCGATATGAGTTCGGCGAGGGTCACACATAAAGTATGACTGTTGTATTAATGAATGATTTTACTGGCCAAGGAAGAGAGGAAAATGAGAGGGCAAACAGATGAACTGGTCTTGTCAACGAGTTCCAACATCAAAACATAAATGCCAAAAAAAAATTAGAAGAAATAAATTTGAAGATTTACATAATACCGGGAGAAGAAAAAAAAAAAAAACAAAACGAAACAAAACAAAACAAAACAATCCTCACACATGAACATCCCAAAACCATTGACACTATTGAAAATAATGCTACAGTAAAACTAAATAAACAGAAACACCAATTTGACAAAGCAAAGCTGAACAAACTAGTACTAAAATTGAGAAACAAACAGTTCCACAAACCACAGGCATGAGACTCAAGTCAGTTGCGCCTGATTTCTTGTACGGACCATCCGCATTCCAAATGACTTCTAGCCCCATTCCCATACCCTACAGTAGTGACACGATGGAGCCTTCTACACATAGACCCCCATTCTCCAATATACAATCAACAAGTTTAGCAAATGAAAACCAGTATCTAGTATAAATTCACTATGATAATTACTGCAGTGAAGATCTGCACTTTTCTGCATCAACACCGTATCCACCAAACCATGGTAGCAAAACTGACCTAACAAGACCATACCAAACTAGCACCACAACCCAAGCGACTCAGCAGATGACCATAACCTCACCATTATCTTCAAAACATGCCCACCCAAGAAAACAATCTCCAATTGCCAAACGTACACTCAGACTGACCACCTACTCATCACCGCTGATGTCAACATTGCCATACTCGAGCTCAGCACACAACCAGGACCCTCGACCTCACATGCCCGTCACCTTGCCCATCCCGGCACCTTGTGTGCTCCAGGCTCTCATCTCTCCTCACGCTCGTGCGTACTGAACGATCCTCAATCTCACTGTCACAAACCCCTCCCCACACGCACCCGGCACAACCCCCGATACCCACTCACACCATGCACGCCACACACCGCACCGTTACAAAACCAATTCGCAGAGCAGAGAAACGTATATTACAAAAGCCATCGTCATCGTGACATCACGAATGAATGTACAGTTTTCCTTCCAGGCGTGGAGACCGACGCATTGTCTTTCCCAATCGAATTGAGACAGGTCGATCTGTCGTGTGACTAGACTAGACTCTCCCTCTGCCACTCAGGTCTACTTCCCTCCAAGACCTCCCAGGTTTTCATAACGTCATTATCTCAAGTCCATTGGCATGTACACAAAAGTTATCCACATGCATGCTCCTCCGTCTCTACCACTACAATCCTGCTTTTGGTAAATCAGCAAAAGCCTGGCTAGCTACAATCACAAATTGCGTGAAAAATCCAAAAAAATGAGTATCGCCCCGTCTCGTGTCCTCTCCCAGCTCCTTTAGGGGCGGCCAAAACCGAGCAGAATAATAATTGACTTCGCTACTTCAATCTCCTACCTCCGCACCGCCTGCTCCTCAGGTACGCACTCCAATATTTCGGAATATGTATACATCATCAACAAACCCACTGCGTTGGCTTCGGATGGTCGTTTGCCACCCTCCCCCGCCCCACGCACGCCCCCTAAAGTACTCAACAATCCCACCTCCCCGCCCCAAATTCCAATACCGTACCGCTCCTACTCACACCCACAGCCACCCACCATCGCTCCGCGCTCCTCCCACACACGAATTGCGCCACCTCAGCACCCCATACGCATCCTCTTTCCCCTCCCTCGCACCTCCGATCCTTCACACTCCTCCACACAACCTGCCACCAGCTCTTCCACACCACTTGCATCCACGCCACATTATTCTCGCCGTAACCAGGGCCTCTCCGAGCCGCATCCGTACGGTCACCACCACTATCTCCCACCTCCTCCTCCTCTACCAACTTCCGCATCCATAGACAACTCCGCCAATCCCACTCCCTCCCCGCTCCACTCCCTCATGCCCCACCTCGCATTCATCACCGCATGCCGCTACACCCTGCCAGTGCGCCTGGCAGTCCTGCCCCCAACCCAGCGCCTCCGCGGAAACCACCTCCGCCCCACCCTCACCACCCCGCCGAATGCTCCGGCTCCTCCTCCACCAGGTCGTTCACCCAGTCCAGGTCCGGAGAGTCCCCCACGCCGCTCCCCGCCTCGTTCAACGAACTCCGGCTCAATCGCCCGTATATCTTCGCCCGCAGATCCCGCCCACTCTCCACCCGCTGCACCGCCGGCTCCCCGTCCTCGTTCTCTTCCACCTCCCACCGCTCCTTCTGATCCCACCGTCCCGACACCTTCGTCGGCGTCCCGGGCACGCTCTGCGAGCACCGACGCAGCGGCGACGGCCCCGTCGTGTACTGCTGCTGCAGCCACTGCGCAGCCGATGCCGGAGGTGCACCCCGAATCTCCAACTGCTGCAGCGTCGCGATCAGCTCCATCATCGACTTCTGCGGCACTCCCGCTGGCGACGTCGGTGCCGACCCCGGATGCATCCCCGAGTGCAGCCCCCGATGCTCTCCCGCGCTCGGTATCGACAGCGTTGGCATCGAGTTCAAACGATCCAAATGCCGCCGATGTGCCGGCACCGCCGACGTCTGCCCGTGTCCGCCCAGCCCCCGAGCCTGCGCCGCTTGCTGCAGCGTCGCCTGCAGCGACATCCCAGATTGTGCTCCTGACATCGACCCGCTCGCAAATGACCCCGCATTCGCCCCCCATTCCTCAGCCGACCCAGGCGACGGCGGAGGCGACCCCGACGGAGACAGCGGAGGGCTCAGCGGCGGCGGGTACTGCGCGTGCCCGACCAGCGTCGACCTGGGCGACGAATTCTGCGACGCCACACACCCTGCACCCGAGTGGGCCGAGCTCGAGTACCCCGACAAGTGGCTCAGACCGTGAACTCCCGATGCTCCGTCGTAAGATAAGCTCTCGTACCCGAACGCCCCATCGTAGCTCGCCGCTGCACCAGCTCGCGGCGACCCGTCGTAACCCCCTCCGCTCCGACCTCCCGTCGTCGCTGCCTGTGCCGCCGCGGGCAGCAACCGCAGTTGCTCCGGCGTGTGCGCGAAAAAACACACCCGACGACGGCAGTTCCGCCCGTCCTTGCACGGCTGCGTCCGGTACCGAGCCGGATGCAGCCAGCACTCGAACACTCCGTGCGCGAACTCGCACGCATCGCCTCTCCGACAGCTCCCCTTCCGAAAGTCCGGACACGCCGTCCCCGAGTAGTGGTACCGCCGCGGATCGCGACGCCTAGCTTTCTCGCCCGGGTGGGCGAACGGGCATTCCGTCCAATCGTGGCTCCTCCCCCTCATGCATCGCCTCACCTTGAATTCAAACATCCGGAACTGATCGCACCCGTACATGTCCACCACCGGCCACGCCTCCTCGTCCTCGTTGTTCGACGGCAGAAACTTGTTGAACAGCGCATCGGAAAATGTCGGTGACCCCATCGATGACCCCCCGGCCCCCAGCGGCGACGCCGGTCCCAAGCTCAGCCCTCGCAGGTCCGCTCGACCCGCTCCCTTCCCCGCCTCCTCAAAGAAGCCCCCCTTCCCGCTCCCCGCCTCAATCAACGACTCCTCGTCCGCCATCGAAAATCCCGAAAACTCACCCCTCGACACCGGCGAGCTCGGCGGGCTCGAAAAGAAATTGTTGAATGCGTGCAACCCCGCGCTCCCCCCACCCCCGAAGCTGTGGCTCCTCTGGTACACCCCACCCGACGCGCCATCTACAGGCGCCTCCGCATCGTGCATCGCCGCGGGCGAGAACGAGTTCAGCCGCCGCATTGCATGCTGCGCCTGCACATGCTGAGACATAGGCACGTAGTCTACCATCGATTCATACAACGACAGCGACGACGAACCTCCCCCGTCCAGCGATGCCAGTCCCCCCGCTCCACCGCTCATAAACGGCGACTCTCTTCCTCCCCCCACGAACTGCCGCTCCTGCTGCCTCTGCAACACTGCCAACATTATATCGTCTCCCTCGCAAGCCCCCGCTCCTCTTCACTCAACGTCTTTCTCCACCCCCACTCCTCGGTTGCATCTCACTGGCCACACTTCCGTCTCTCCCAACCTCAAACTGCTCTCCGACCACTCACTCCCCTCTTTCTTTGCAAGCAAACCTAAAGGATGTGTTCACTGAGACATGCACCGCACTCTCCTGCTCTTCTATCAGGCCTGAGGCAGACTTCAATCGGAACCTTGAAGACCTGCAACGCGTATGCGTAGACCCAAGAGACTATGTTGTCTACACCGCGTCTGAGTGACCCTCAAGTTTTCAATGGCCGTTGCACTAAATGAACGACAAACTTCGGAGGGGGACAAGAAGTAGGGCCCCTCTTTCGGGCGAGCCCGAAGAAGCTGGAGGGGAATAAGAGTGGCATCCAGGGGATAGTGGAAGTATGCGATGGACGGCGCCCTTGCTTTGCCTTTCTTCTGTGCGGGCGTATGTGTTGGTTCTGGGTGTGGGTCGCGGGTGTGACCTCGCCGGTGATATCGAGTTCTACGAACCCGCATCTATGAATTGATAATTATCACAGCATGGTTACCTTCCTGTGTTCGGCTGATAGTTTTGTGCTTCGTCTTACCTTTGAGTTTAGATAACTGTCAGTTATCTACTCATAATGGTTCGGGTCCTTACGGAAATGGTAGATGGGTGTTGGTTCGGGTGTTTGTTCGGGTGTTGGTTCGGGTGTTTGTTCGGATGTTGGTTCGGGTGTTTGTTCGGGTGTTGGTTCGGGTGTTTGTTCGGATGTTGGTTCGGGTGTTTGTTCGGGTGTTGGTTCGGATGTTGGTTCGGGTGTTTGTTCGGGTGTTGGTTCGGGTGTTTGTTCGGATGTTGGTTCGGGTGTTTGTTCGGTTGTTTGTTCGGGTGTTGGTTCGGGTGTTGGTTCGGGTGTTGGTTCGGGTGTTGGTTCAGGTGAAGGACAGGAAGGTCGCCTCTGGATTATGACTCATGGCACCCAATGTGGAAATTCTCCCTGAATGAACATATATGGACTGTTTGCGTGGAAATCATACTTTTTGAATGAACATATATGGACTGTTTGCGTGGAAATCATACTTTTTAAATGGAGGTGTAGTTGTGGTATTGACGAACTGGTATTGTTCTTATGCAGCTGGAACTGAAGTGTTGCTCTAAGCGTTTTCAGTCTTGATATTGGAAGTGACAAATGGCCTCCAGCAAGTGGGTTATTGCTACACAAAGGTGATATGGCGAGGGAGTTGTGTTTAACAACTAACATGGTTTGCACTCGCTGACTATGCCATGAAGAGTAAGAAGTTTTTGAAGTGAGTCAGCAGGTGGGCTGTGTGTGTGTTAGGGATATGTTGCTAGTTGTTGTAACACAACTGCAGAAACGGTTTTAGTAGGTATTTTTATTTTACTTTTCTTCTGGGTTTATATAACAATTGGGTCTTATTTCAATTTCTTGATAGTTGCAGTGTATTGAGGGGTTTTTTGTGAGCCCCAGTTCAAGCTATGTTACATGCAAAGCTTAGTCAAGTGAGAATGGTGGGGATCATTCTGTTGTAGTTCGAGCTTCACTAAATATAATTTTTAGATGATTTGAAGGGAGGTGAGTAGTACTTTATCCAGTTTCTGTTAGAAATTGTTGTATTGGAACTCTTGTATAGATGACTTTTAATGAAAACAACAATAAAATGAAATAACATGTGTGTGGTTGTGATTGTGTTACTTATCTCAATTTGACATGTGTTTTCAAGGTCTTCTCACTTGGACATTGAATTTGTCTTCCAACCAACTTTGTGAAGATTCTTGCTTGTTATTGTAAAAGATCTAAGATTTATCAAAGTTGATGATGTAATATGATTATATTTTAAAATAAACCATTTCTAAAAATGAAATTCCAAACAATATATATATAAAAATGAAATTCCAAACAATATATATATATGTATGTATATATATATATATATATATATATATGTATGTGTGTGTGTGGATTCTGTTATTCTTAGTTTATTGAAAGTATACTAGTTTTTTGCACTCATTTTTTGCCCTTTTGCCCTTTTGCTTTTATTATTTTATTATTTTATTATTTTCCACTTTATTATATATTTGCTTACATTAGACCATGTTAATCTGTTTCACAACGTCTGAATAACATGTTTAGATTGGCATTTTTAAGTAGTGGAGTCTTAGTCACAAGTATTTTGAAATCAAGACAACTATGCTTTGGTCACTTAGTACAAGGCTGTTTGAGACTTCCCTAATTCTGTGAATTTTGTATTGTAATATTTATAATAGTAGTAATGTTAACATTATTATTATTTTCAAAATAATTTTATAGGTTTTCATCGTTGTTAATATTACATGGTTCTTGTACTTTTATGAGTTTTTTTATAGAGTCCCTGCAAAGCACTATAATGTATTTTCAGTGACCCATTGCAACCTATTGGCACAAATATTTTGAATTTAATACTTCAGTCTAATTATAAAGTGTTTTTGTAGCTTTAAAAAAGTTAGTAACTTCACAGCCGTTTTGGAAGCATTGAAAATATTTGTCTAATTATTAAAGATAATTTTGATAGAATCAATTACAGAAAAGAAATAGAAAACGAATAAGAATAAGAAAACTGATTTTACTTCTTTTTTTCTTGACATGCTTTACAATATAGCATTGCATTATATATTTTGACAGGAATTTGATAAGCATTGGAATGACATCATTATTATAAAAAAAAATGGTATTAATTTTGAATTATTCAATAATGAAATCAGTTGTTTCAAAAAATATACTCTCATAAAAGTTAAATAATATTTTCAAACCATCACACTTTCCATGGATGATATATCAAGTAATATTTGTGTAGCAATTCAAATCATTACCTTCATGTATCTTACTAAGTTAAGTAGTAAAGGAATAAACTTAATAAATACATGTAGATGTCAAGACAATTTTCTCATAAATCTGTAAATATTACAAAATTTGACAAATCATTCAATGTCATCTATCAAGTGCAAAACAACTCATCAAATTAATGATGCATTTTTTTTAAGAAAAAAGAAAAAAGAAAAAGAATCAAGTGAAGGAGAAATGATAATGGTAATATTCTGTTCATCAAAATTTTCAAAAACACTTCATCCCCCCCTTAATTTCTGATGTATTTCTCAATGAAATATTTTTGCATAAATTCAGTGACCTATATCATCTCACCACTTTTGCCAATTTTACTCAGTAATTCTATCATGAACAAATATGAGTATAAGTTTCACAAAAACAAGTAATAATAATCATTGTAAATTATGTGATGTTGTGAAGGTAATTTATTTGTAGTATGTTTTTCTTTAATAGGTTCAAATGTAAATTCTATAAAACTACAAATTATTCCCATGGTGCAGTTCAAAATAAAAGGATATAGGAGCTGTTTGAAAATTTTCACATAATTTTTTTTATATTGTATTGATTAATTTTATTCTTAGATGGCACCCAGAAGTAAATGAGATCAAAATAGTAGTTCACACATGCAAAAAAAACATCCCTGAATAAAAGCATTATAATGCATTGGGTTTAAGAGTCCCTTCATTTTGAATGAATGAAGCATGAACGAGTGAATGGACTGAGAGTTGAATGTCTGAATGGATGGATTTTGGGTCCTATGTACTTGCAATCTGTGTTGGTTTTTATTTTTATTTTTATGTTTTAAATGAGATGAGAGAGAGAGAGAGAGAGAGAGAGAGAATGCAATTTCTCAACACCTTCCTTATACACCTCACCTTCATGCAACAATAAGTAGTGGGTCCCAGTTCCCCTTCATTACTCTGGTGGGAGTAGCTTCAGGCATTGAATAGTGGGTCAGGAAAAAAGGGGCTACCCTTCCCTTCACTTCCCTTCCTCCCTCCCCCTTCTGCCCATGCCATTGCCTGTGCCCGTTTCTAGTCTTTGACTATGTCATGCCTTTGACCACCAGCACAAAGGAAGGAAGGAAGGAAGGAAGGAAGGAAGGAAGGCTGCCACTGGGTTTATCTACCTCATGGACTGGATGGTGTTATGTGCACAGAACATAATGGACAGTTGAGAGTCTTTCTCTCCCCCTTTTTTTGTGTCTTGTGCCATATTGCTTGACACCTGGGATCACAACCAGACCCACCTCAATGGCCTAGTTGCCATTTTCCTTTGCCAGTCGGAAATAGAATTGTTAAGTGGCAATCTCTCTGTTTCCCTTCTTCATGCATGTTCCCATTTCCATATGGGTTTGGAGCTTGTTGAGTGAGTCAGGTTTGATGGCTTCGGAATTCAATCACCAAGGTGGTTGTAGATTATGACTGTGATAGTACCCTATCACAGAAGAATAAGGAAAAGAACTTGAATATTTGAAACTATCATCTTTCATCTAATGCATATATCTATCAAAAGATATGAGATAAAAAATCAAGAAAAACACATCTTCTTTTAAAAGAGTGAAAAAATACACTTCACAGTAACAGGTATAACACTTATTTTATTTTGTTTTGTTTTTTTCTTTCTGTAATGGGAAGAACCCCCATTCAATTACATTAATGTTGGAATTTATATTAGTCAAAACATTCAATGATTAAATAATTTGAGTCTAACAGTTTATGGAAAGTTACAAAACAATCATAATATGTGTGCATGATAAAGATTTCACCCCAACAGCTGAAATTTCATAACTAGTTTACCATCCTAAAGCGAAGAATCATCACAATTTAGGTTTAAGTCAAACGGTTACGACCCAGCAAAAAAATTTAAAAAAAGAAAAGAAAAGCAAATTCAAACCTTATTTACTATTTGAGCCGGAGACAGGGGCTTACGTGGCAGATGAGTCGTGAACAGAACCACCGTAGAACTTGCCTGGAAGCTCTTGCGGACCCACCGTCCAGCGGGCCAGGGAGGCGAGGTACGGACCCATGCAGGGGGATGCCGCGAATGGATGAACCGAATGAGGGAAAGAGGATGAATGAAAGTAGAGCGTGATGGTGGAAGAAGTGGATAGGAGCAGATGGAGGGGGAGTATGGCAGGGAGGCTGCACCGTATCATCGCATCCTATCCTGCTCGGCTGACTCACCCGCTCAGATCTTTATTTACTTCCTTTCGTCGCTCGGGCCCGAACCTCCTCGCCATACCGTCCCCCTCGCCGTGCCATACCTCCCTCCATCCCTCCTTCCCTCCCTTCCTCCAATCGGGCCCCTCCCCACTTCCGGCGCTCGCATCGATCGTCCTGAGAGCCACTCACTTTCGTCTTTGTGAGTGGTCCACTTTCTCTCGACCCATGCTTCTCGCTCTCGCTGCTCCGGCTCCTGCTCCTACCGCCTCAATCCCTTCGCCGAAGCCCTTTGTTTTATCATTCCTTGTCATAGCTATCTCAGAGCTATTTCTCTACAGTTGGGTGGATAACTTAGTTCAGATAATGGAGCATGTTGTATAAGAATGAGGCGCATTGCAATACTGCTCCCTCCGAGTACTTACATACACATACACACATGAGAACTGATTTTTGTTGATTACTTCCTAACTCATTCTAC